GGTTGTAATGTGACAAAATATGGAAAAGTTCAAGGGGTATGAATACTTTTGCAAACCACTGTATCTTATTTAATAAAGTTTAACAGGATGACTCAGGCTCTTACACCTGTCAACTCAACCCAGTCATTTCTGCAGTTTTTGGGGAGGTCACCTCCTAATAAATGTCCTTACAGAAAATCTAACTGCTCATTTTAAATCTACACTTTGACTTTTAATACTTAACTACAACAAATATCACATACTTTAAGACTTTTAATACAACAGTCATTTCTGCAGTTTTTGGGGAGGTCACCTCCTAATAAATGTCCTTACAGAAAATCTAACTGCTCATTTTAAATCTACACTTTGACTTTTAATACTTAACTACAACAAATATCACATACTTTAACACTTTTACTACTTAACTACAACAAATATCACATACTTTAAGACTTTTACTGAAGTTATATTCCTAAAGGAGACTTTAACTTTTACCAAAGACATTTTTGGGAAGATACTTGTACTTTTACTGAAGTATTACTTTGTGGTACTTTATACAACACTGGTCATTTATCATTAAAATAAAGACTAATGAGTTTATTCTGGAGGAACTTTTTCTGACCAATAAGGAGAGACTTTTCTGAAGGAGGATGAGCTTATATAAGAAAACATTTATTTACTGTTAACACATAATCAGAGCTATTTTTGATACTATTTATAATAATTACCATATTTATTTAAATCAGACATAAATAAAAACTGATAAATTACTAAAATTCCATTTTTAATCAACATTTTTTTAGAGTTTTTCTAAAATATATTAATGTTTTAACATTAAATTGGTATTGGTAGTCAGAAATCAGTCACAGATCTTTAGCACAAAGGTCCAAATATAAAACAACCTTCTGATTTCAGCCTTTGAGGCTTTAACTTTCTAACCGTCACAGTTTGCTTCATAAATCTTTGTTTTCAGACTCTGAGAACGTCATCGTGTCACTCTCCGCACTGCTGGCCAGCCTCAACAGCTGCTGCAACCCCTGGATCTACATGATCTTCAGCGGCCACCTGCTCTCGGACTGCGTCGGCGTGTTGCCGTGTTGCCACCGGCTGAGGAGTAAGTTCCACCACCACGACTCCGACAGCAGCATCCGTCGGACCACCCTGATGTCCCGCCTGCAGGGTCCCAAGCTATCAGAGCACCTCAGAGACGTTAAAAAGACTCCGCAGGCCTCGACTGCGACGTGACGTTTGGGACTGACCAAACCTGTCCACAGGAAGGTTCTGGATCTGCTGGTTGGAGCTGTGGGCACCACAGTCCTGTGTTTCTGAGTCGTGTAAAATAAAAATGGTTGATGGAGGTAAAGACAAAATAAAACACATTTTAAATGAACTTGGTGGAACTCCAATGCCAAAAAACTTGGGAAATCTGGAAAATATAAACAAAAAGCCAAAAAGAAAAAATAAGTAGGTCCTCTGGATGGGTTCTTCTTTAGTGAAATGTTTCGTCTCTCCTCCAAGAGACTTCTTCAGTCTGAAGAGTTTCAGTTGAAACTCAGCCTTATAAGCGCTGCCTCCACCTGGACAAACAGGTTAGTCACATGCAAAAGAGGGCCATCAGCCTAACAATAGGCTTGATTAGCTCTATTGTTCATAGAGGGTCATGCGCCCCATCACCTGACCCGTGTCGTGTTATGTATATGTAGTGANTTCTTCAACTTCGCTGTAATACAGACGCTACAGAAGATCTTTCCTGTCCACAGCCATCAGCATCTACAATAAGTTTTTAGTTAAATGAGTTACAATAACACCTAATTTCCCTCTGGGATCAATAAAGTATTTTTGAATTGAATATCATATCATATCATGTCAGTCTGGAGATACTTTCCATTTTGGTCAAAAAAAATCTTTCCAGAATTGATAAATCTCTTTTTGACCAAATATTTAAACAAGTTATACTTTTTTTTGTAGTTTTTCCCAGATATTTACAGCTCAGTCTTGTTTTTTGTTATGTTTGTACCCAAATATTTTACATTAGAATTTAATGGGATATTAAATGCAGAAGATATTGCAGAGTCTTTTAAAGATAGGATCTCACATTTGTTTGAGTTTAGTTTTAACCCTGAGGCCTTTGAGAATTTCTCAATGAGTTGAAGGACTTTTGGAATTTCATTCAAATTATTTAAGAAGATACAGTAGATGTATCATCAGCTAATTGGATAATGGAGTATTCTTTTCCTAGAACAGATAATTTACCAAATTCTGCATTTTTAATTAGTAGAGAAAGCATTTCTGTTGCTGTAATTAATAGCAAAGGTGAAATTGGACATCCTTGTTTTATACCTTTGTTAATATTAAACCTCTGAGAGGTGCCATGTGGAAGACACARTGAGCTGTTTGTATCCCTGTACAGTAAAGTGATTACTATAATAAACTTGTTTCCAAATCCAAAAAGATCTAAAGTTTGAAACATAAACTCGTGTTCTATCATATGAAAGGCTTTACAGAAGTCTAAGAATAGTATAAAACCTTCATCTTCAATTAGATGATTATGATCAATTAAGTCTAGAACAAGACGAATATTGTTATGAATGGAGCGGCCTTTTAGAAATCCAGATTGAGTGTCAGAAATGATTTGGGTTATACCTGATTTTAATCTGTTTGCATAAATGTGTGTCAGGAGTTTATAATCGTTATTATGACCCCCGCATGCAAAGCGTAAGCGGGAGTCATATTGTTTTCGTACTGTTTATTTATTTATTTTATTATTTCTCCGGAGATTTTGGTCAACTGTAGCACAAAAACAGCTGCACCGATCAACATGAAATTTGGCAGGACTGTAGATGAGTCCGACCTACACTGCACCAGCCAACGATTTTACGATACACCCCATATTTGAGGAGGGGGCTCCTTTCAAAGTGGGGGTGTCTGGACATGTAAAAATGCTTATAACTCAGAAACTGTTCAACATAGGAGCTTCAGATTTATTTTGTTGTTTAGCTCTGATGAAGCTCTATCCATCAGGCCCACCAATAAGTGCCCCCCACCCCCCAGACCCCCCAATTTATCTGAAAAAGGGGTATCTGGACAAACAAAAATGGTTATTGCTCAAAAACTATTAAGCATAGGAGCTTCAAATTTTCTTTGGCTGTTTAGCTCCGATGAGGGGCTATCATCAGGTCAACCAATGCCCCCCGCCCGCCCCAAAAAAAAGACCCCCTCCCAAGCCACTACCGTTTTAGGATGCACCTCGTAGCATGACATTCATTAGGAATGAAGACTTCTGAGTTCCAGTGCATTTCTGCGTGCGGGGGTCATTATCTTACCGCTATGCAGTGTCTAGTTTAATTAAGTTATAGGTCTTAAATTATCAAGAAGAATCTGGTCTTTCCCAGGTTTGGGTATAAGTGTGATTTTCTTTAAGCATGTCAAAAATAAGGTTTCTAATATGATCCCAAAAGTGTTTGTAAAAATTACTTGTCAGGCCATCACAGCCTGGGGCTTTATCTTRAGTTAAAGCATATAGTGCTTTATCCAACTCTTCTATGGTCATTTCTGCTTCACATAACTGTTTAAAGCTTTCACCAACTWTGGGAACCAGGTGTTTAATAGACTGAAAAAATGATTCAGCCATTGGTTTCGAGTATGAATAGGTGTAAAAATTGCTGRAAAAGTTAAAAATTCTTTGGAAATGATTTGAGGGTCTGTACTTAGTTGGTTATTTATTTTCAAGTTAGTAATAGCATTTTTCTCTTGTCTTGACTTCTCCAATCTACAGAAATATGCTGTGCTTTTCTCACCATCCTCAATCCATTTGGCTCGAGATCTAAGATATGCTGCTTTAGTTTTTTTTAACATAAATATTGTCTAGGTTAGATTGCAATATAGTTTTACGTTGTTTATCATCATCATTAAAGAGAGGTTTAGAACAAATATAAGTTCTCTGATAATTTCTGTTTATTTTTGTGTATGTTGGTTAGCTATTAGTTTACTGTGCCTAACTGAGATTTGACGTACTTTGAATTTAAAGAATTCTAATTTTTCTATAAATGATTCTATGTTTACATCTGTTATAATCAAATCTAATTGCTCAATCAAAAACAAAAAAATAATTAGGTCCTCTGGATTGTTTCTTCTTTAATGAAATGTTTCGTCTCTCCTCCAAGAGARTTCTTCAGTCTGATGAGTTTCAGGTGAACTCAGCCTTATAAGCACTGCCTCCACATGGACAAACAGGTTAGTCACATGAAAAAGAGGGCTATCGCCTAACAATAGGCTTGATTAGCTCTATTGTTCATAGAGGGTCATGTGCCCCATCACCTGACTTATTGGTTTGGATGCTGTGGTTCTTAGGTGTCGTGTCATGCGTATGTAGTGAATGCAGGGGGGGGCTGAAGTCCCCTTGTTTTTGTTTTTCTTTCCGTCTTTGTGTTTGTGTCTTTGGGGCCCTGATTCACACCTTTTGCTCACAGGGGGCGGAGTCAAACTTGTAATAACAGCATTGAAGGAGGAGGACAACTGGACACGAAGGCCTCTGTTTAATGGTGGACAGCAATTGCTTAATAATTTCTTTGTTAAAACTGGCATTTTTTTTAGCAGAGTTGAGTTAAATTTCCAGTAGCCTTTGTTAAAATCTTTTAATTGCGGTGTAATTTGAAGCTGTATCAAACAGGGATCAGTTAAAGGAGCAGCTGAAATACTAGAACTTATTTTATTTAGCTTTATATCATATGAAATTAACCAAAAATCAATACGAGATTTAGCCGAGCTATCATGCTTGAACCATGACAGAGTAAGGGGATTTGCTAATCTCCATGGATCTGTTAAGTTCCAAGCAAAAGTTATGTAAGATTGCATTTATATGATGAGCATGGTATTTAGAGGGTGTTCTATCAAGCCAGTCGTTATAGACCATGTTAAAATCTCCTTCCAATATAACATTGTTGGTTGAGTTTTTGTGACATAATTCTTTCAAATGACTGGTTATTTCAGTCAATAGTTTTTTGTTCTGAGAGACACCGTTGTAACCATAAACATTGCAGATAACTAGGAAGCTATTTTCCACTTTGATTACACAGATTAGCCAATGACCCAGGTTGTCTTTCCTATGAGTTTCTATTTTGTTYTGAAAGTTTTTAAACAAAAGAGCTACCCCAGCTGATTTGTTAGTACCATGACAAGGAATGATTTTTTTCTCCCCACTGATTAAACCAAAATCTCTCATCTTCCTCAACAGAATGTGTTTCCTGTAGCAAAACACTGCTTTTATATTTTTACAAAACAAAAATATTGATTTCCTTTTAGCACTATCTCTCAAACCCCTAGCATTCAAAGACACACAGTTAAAACTTGAAGTAAAAAAGGACATGAAGTAAGAAAAATAAAAATAAAAATAGATTTACTGTGTAATCAGTACACAGATAAAGAGATAGTATATAAAAGACTAGAACAGTGAATCCCTTGAATTAACTTCAAAACATGCAATACACCTCTAAGACACATTATAATAACATACCAAACAGGTTTTTAAGGCACTTGAATATACTTGCCTAAAAAATTAAGTCATTCAGCTGTAGGTGAAGAAATGTAACTTATAGATTGAGGAATTGAATACTGTGTATTCTTCTTGTAATGCCTATGTCAAAACTCGTTTCAAGTTCTACAGACAGTCAGGAAACATGCGAACTCCGTTGATGTATCCGATATACCCTCTGTAGTAGATGTGCTTTCCTTCAGCTCTGGCTTTTTCCATTTTGGGCCAAGCTGCAGCTCTTGCCTCCCGGTCTTGCTTGCAGAAATCTTGCTTGAAGTAGATGCCCAGCTCCTTGCACGTCTTGGAATCCTTGGTTATTTTCCAGAAGGTGTCTCTGTGGTGTCTCATGGTGAACTGGGTAATTATCTGGCAGATTCTCCCCACTTCTTTTTCCCCCCAAGCGATGTACAGTATCCACTGCGTTATCCAGCCATGATGTCCAATGCGGCGCTATCTTGCCCAGAATGTTGATGACTACTTTGCGAGTATCTTCATCATTTTTTTAAGCCCTGAATTTTCCGATTCCAGCGGCGATTGTAGCGTTCCAATTCCAGCACTCTTTCCTTCAACTCTACATTTTCTTTTGAAAGAGCAGGAATGTCTTTTTCCATGCTAGAAAGTTTAGTTTTACAGTCTTTTATGTCAGCTGTGTTCATTTCGAGTAGCTTAGAAATACTAGCCACCATAATCGTGTTTTCACACAGCTGCTCACCAAAGCTATCAAGCTTGCTGATTGCTTCCAAGATAAGATTATCGGCTTCCTCATTTTTGGAACGCAATTACCTTGTTAGGTGGCACCGGTGTTTTGGTGGGGGGTTGGTGGAGTTTTTCTTTTAGATGAGAACTTCGGGACATCCATAGAATAGTCGTGGTCATTCGTGGAGTTTTTGGAGGCTACCGCTAGCTTAGCTGGCACATCAGCTTTCTCCTTTGGCATCTTTC